ATTAATTTAAGCCAGAATTCCCCAGAGCACTTCTTTTTTGCTATGAGTCCACAAGTTGCAGAACCAGGACTCCTACCTCCTCCTTGAATGTCAAGGCCTGCCCCTTAAAATAGGTGAGCTAATGATAAGAATGAATAAAAGAATTGCTAAAAGATTGGGGGGGGGGGGGAAGAGAACATCTGTAATCCCTGCCATATGGAAGCTAAAGCAAATGGCTCCCAACAAAGCCTGAAACCAATGCCTCTCTGAAAGCTGGCCTTACGCTTCTTTGGGATAACCAGGAAGGATGGAAGCCGAAGGCAGTTAATGTCATCCCCCACAGCCTCAGCACTGAAAGAGAATCTTGTTGGCAATGTCCTGGTAGGCCATGTGGAAAAGCCCATCTTTTGAGCTGTCAATCAAGCCATCTCAAGTGGAGGATACTGCTCAGTCACTGCATTGCTCCAGAGCTCTTGGATGGAGTGGCAGATGCCATTTCCCCCTAAGGTCCATCTTTCCAGCAACTGATGGGCCCAGAGGGCATCCCAGCACTTGCTGGAATGGAATTCTTTCCATCAGGATAAGCAGCCCCCTCCTTTTTAGGTCACTGCTTGAGTAGGTCAGTAGTAGTCCCCTAGGCTATTTTAGCAAGTCTAGACAAGGTCTGGGGCTGAAGAAGGATGAAGAGGACAAAGCAAGCTTTCTGAATGGGAAATGAGAAATCAAGAGAAGTGAAAAACACTGGCTCTTATAAGTCACAATTTATGCACTCCCTTCGTGTTTTTAGTCAAGAGAATAATGAATCAGCTGCTCATTTCCAGAGATATCAGGGCAACCCAATAGGATGAAGGAATGTACTGTATGCGCTTCCATTCATACCCAATTACATCTCACAAATAGAATAGTCTTTGAAAGCAAAGAAAAGGGAAGGCTTAGAATGTGTGAGGTGTTTTGGTTGAGCAACATTGCACAAGTGAAGTAAATATAATGATCAAAAGCAGGTGACAGTTTGGAAAGAGTAACCAGTAAATGGCAGCCCCATTGTGTTAGTATTTCAGGAATGCTTTCATAACTAGGTTTTCCACAGGAGCCAATACCTGACCAAAGCCTATTAAATCAAAGGAAAGGCTGTAAAAAGGTAATTAGGCAAAAGATCTCTGAACAACAGCAACAACAACAGCATTTCTTACCCTCCTGTCCCTATGGATTGAGGCAGGGAGCAACAACAATCACAGACAAACAACATCAGTTAAAACACACATCAATTTAAAAGGACAAAATTAAATAACATATTAAAACAATCCACATTTAAAATTCATCATTTAAAATTCACAAGTTAAAAATCATCTGGATAAGTCTGCCGGAAGAAACTGGTCTTTAAATTTTGACAGAGTATTTAAGCTGTTGAATCTCTTCCAGAAGGCCATTCCACAGTCTAGGGATGGTTGAAGTAAAAATCTTCTGGGTGACATTTACCAACCTAGTCCTGGCTTACTGGAGTAAAAGTCTGCCAGAGGACCTGAGTATAAGGGGCAGATTCTATGGGAGGAGGCGATACTGTAGGTAACCTGTGGTGGCTCAAGTGGTAAGATACTGACTCTGTTGATTGCAATATCGGCAGGTTGGCAGTTTGAGGCCTGGGTGCTGCATGATGGGGTGAGCTCCCATTACTAGTCCCAGCTTCTGCCAACCTAGTGGTTCGAAAGCATACAAATGCAAGTAGATAAACAGGTACCAATTCTTAGTGGGAAGGTAAACAGTGTTCTGTGCAATCATGCTGGCCACATCATCACAGAGTAGTCTCTGACAATGCTGGCTCTTTGGCTTAGAAACAGAGATGAGTACCACCCTCTATGGTCGGACACAACTTGACAACCTTGTCAACAGGGAATACCTTTACCTTTACCTTAATATGATCACTCCTGGATGTGCCAGTAATCAATCTGGCTGCCATGGTTTGAACCAACTGAAGTTTCTAAACTTGGTACAGAGGTAGCCCAATGTACAGCATATTGCAATAGTCCAGCCTTGAAGTTACCAGTGCATGCACTACCATATTTAAGTCTTCCAACTCTAGGTAGTTGCATAGCTGGTGTATCAGCTGAAGCTGATGGTAGGCACTCCCAGCCATCACATCTATCTGAGCTGTCATTGGGAGCAATGGATACAGAAACAGCCCTAAGCTGTACTCTTTCGGGGGAGTGAAAATCTATCCAGAACTGGTTGACAAACAACTCCAAACCCAGGTTAGAACCTTTGACAGTAAGCATCTCTGTCTTGTCTGGATCCAGCTTTAATTTGTTTTTCCTGATCAAGCCCTTTACCTCCTCCAGGCAGATTCAGAGACACACTATTCTTAGCTGAGGCTGTATTTGAAGACATGGAGAAATATATTTGAGTGTAATCAGCATACTGATAGCACCCTGCTCCATTCTTCCACATGATCTCTCCCAGCAGTTTTGCATAGATGTTGGATAGCATTGGGACAGGATGGCACCTTGTGGTATGCAGTATAACAGTTCCTTTTTTGAGGTGCAGCTATCCCCAAGCACCACTAACTGAAATCTGCCTGAGAGATAGGACTGGAACCACTGCAACACAGTGCCTCTCATTCCTAAATCTCCCAGGCATTCCAGAAGGTCGGTGGTATCAAAGGCCGCTGAATCTGGTGTCCAGACATGAAAAATGAAATGGAAATGATTTGCAAAGAACTACTGAAGACACCTTTAAAAAATTATGATGATAATCATGAGAAGAGTGAGTACAAATAAACATCTCTGTTCCTCAAAATATTAAAGCACATGACTATCCAATATGATTACCAATATATTAAAAATAAACAAAAAAGTGGCCTAAATCCAGTTGTTAGCACCAATTAGAGTAGACACACTGAAACAAGTTGAACATAAAATGGGTTGCCATTTGTGTTATGTCCTGTTGGCCTTTTGTGAGATAGAAGGTTGTAATAGATGAACTTTTGAGGTTGTCATCTTTCTGGCGAAGAATATGTACTTTTAACAATTACAGGCTAGTGCAGCTTTTCACACAATTACAGGCCTTTGCAGACTGCCAGAAATAGTGCAAATTGAGTCCACTTTAAGGGTTAGGGTTAGTGCTAGGGAATCATGGGAATTTTTTTTTTCCTGAGACATTGAGCCTTCTCTGTCAGAGAGCTCTGGTGCCACAATAAAATATATGATTCCCTAATCCTAATCCTAACCCTAACCCTTAAAGTGGACTCAATTTGCACTATTTCTAGCAGTCTGCAAAGACTGTACATTGTTAAATATAAAACACCACAGTAAGGAAAGGGGAGAAAAAGGCTATCCTACCCAAAAAAAACTTTATTTGTCCTCACTCAGAATGGAAATGAAAGAAGTAAACAAAGCAGAACTATCAGTACAGCTGAAATATCAAACAGACAGACAATGAACCATGACTAGAAATAGTAAGACTACAATTCCATGGCACAGAAAGATGTGAAACATCAGTCTTCCCCCATAGAAAGATGGAACCCCCATCCAAAATTGACACTTTAGGGCATTTCAGAACCAACCAGATCTGACCAAGAGGTTAATCAGATGGAGTAACATTTTTGTCATTTCACACCCCAGCTATATCCCTCCTTAATCATCCTCCATTGTATGCCACAACTTGTTCCTTGGCTAAGCACAGATGCAGGTGTGGACACTGATGACAATGGCGATGTGATCTTCACCCACTTAGTTGCCTGAAATCTTCTCCAAGTAAATATCTTCATCCTTCTGCTTGCATTGACACCTGGTGCTGAATGCTCTCTCATGTTTAGTACAGACTATCTTTTTGTCTTTGAGTTCTATACCATTACCAGTAGTTAAATAGTCAGCAATGGGTATTATTATTCTGACTATAGAAACCACCAACACTCTTGTTTTATTATAAAAATAGTAAGTCTTCCTCCTTTGGTCATAGACCAGATTCTTAGTGATGTATGTCAGTCCAAGCAAAACAATGGCAGAACTTAATAGTGGGTTTGGGAGGAGGAAAAAACAGAAACACAGATGGCAAACTAAGTCCCAGATGGATTGCGTGCAGTATGAATGCATGCTTATAGGACAAAAGTCACTGTAGTAGTCTAAGCAAATTATTTGTTCATTTAGAATACCTGTGAGAGTTGCAGTAGAGACATCTACTTGCTAAAATGTATATATTTCCACACAGCTTCTCAGCCAGACAAAATCTTGATGTTTAAGAAGTGTAAATGCTCATCAATTAAGAAATGTCTGTCCAGAAAAATCAGACTAGAACAGACCTATGGTGCAATGATTCTCAGCAACATGAAAAAAGTAGAGTCGCAATGGTATTAACCAGAACTTGCAAAAGTTACTTTACTGGACTACAGTTCTGAGACTTGTAGTTTTTCCCTCCCACCTCCCAAAAAAACTTTCAGCAATCTCTGTTCTTCATACTTTATAATGGAGTTTCACAGACTGCAAACTAACCTCTGAAACTTTCAGCCTCCCCTTTTCAACTCAGAAATCAGTTTAGCCCTAATCAGTAGGTTTATAACTATATCCTTTCTTAAATACCATGATAGTTTGGACTGTATTTCCCTTCAGATTTAATGAAACCTACAGTTTGACTGTACAATTTGTCTGAAAATATCATGCAGCAGAAATGAAAGTTATGCAAATGGTCTCCTGTAGCTTTCAGAATCTACAACCCTGGCACAGTCACAAGTAAAGATCCAACACATTCAAAGGTTTATTAACGAATACCTCAACCCAGTTTCCTGCAAGTAAGTCCTGTAAAAAAAATTGCTAGTGAATGCATATTTCTAGTGGTTTCAGAAAAGAAGCCAAATGACTGCACTGCTTGTGTCTTGTGATGCCTTTCCTGATATAACAAAGGATCTCAGACATGGCAAATTTTTGCTATGAGAAATCTTTTTTTAGCTACCAGTTACAACAGTCATGGTCATGTATCTTAATGAACAGTTTGATTACTAATAAGTATTAAACATTAGTATTCCATTTTAAAGAGCCATTGTGGTGTAGTGGTTTGAATACTAGAATACAACTCTGGAGATCCGGGTTCAATTCTCCACTCAGCCATGGAAACCCACTAGGTCATCTTGGGTGAGTTACAAATTCTCAGCCCAAGAAAGCCCTGTGATAGGCTCACCTTAGTGTTGCCATAAGTTGGAAACAACTTGAAGGCACACAACAACAACAACAAATTTTATTTTAAGGCAGCTGAAGAAAAGATTACAAATTTTCAGACTCAGATGTTGTTCTCGTTTAAACCAAGGCAAATCTAGTTAAGTCAAGTTCATCCCTTTAAACTAGCACATGAAATGACCAAGAATACATTATGATCACTGAATGCACTCTCACTTTGGCTTATGATGCAGCATGTGTTGGTTCCTGGAGGGAGAGAAGTCATCTTCTTTGATGATCTATCTAATGCATTTCCCCCACCCGTTGCCCTAAATGGCCAGATGAAAAGCAGGACTGTCAGGCAGCCAGCTTGGACAGTCTGATGAACACTGCACCATTTGTATCTGCACCAACAACTGCAAGAACATATGGAGGGGGAGGCCCTTTTCCCACTGGGAAAAGCACCAATACTAACAAGTCTTCCGGCTTGTGAGAGTCCTTGTTTGCAAACTCAGCTTATCTTGAGCAAAGAAAGAAGCAAAATAGATGAAGAAATGGGAAGAAAAGGACAGAACAAGGAATACACTGTCCTCTTTTTCAAAAGCCCAGCTAGCCACCACTTTTAACAACAAGAGACTTGACAAATCCTGGCCCAGGTGTTAGAGTCTCAGTGAACAACATGGAAATAGAGAATAGTCACATCTGTGCAATTTCATTTAAACATTTATTAGCCATACTTACACTTTATTAACACACAACATGTAGCATGGTGACTTATAATTTTGCTACCCTCCTGCAAGTAATTCTAATGTTGAGCTCAGAGCCATGAATACCACTGAGGCTGGCCTGTACCCTTTTGTAGACCATGTAGAGCAGGAGCAGGCAATGATTGCCTTCCAGATTTTTTAATTTTTGCTCACAACTCCCACAGTCTGTCATCAATGGCTCATGCTAGTTGTGTGTCAAAAAATATCTGGACAACCACTGCCCAGCTCTACTTCACAGGCAATTTTAATAGTAGGATAGTTTGCTCCTTAACTCTGTCTATGTCAGGGGTAGGCAACCTTTCCCCTTTAAGGGCCGAGGGACTTCAGCTCCCAGAATCCCAGGAGCTATTGGCCAACATGGGACTATTGGCCAACATGGCTGAGGCTTCTGGGAGCTGAAGTCCCTCGGCCCTTAAAGGGGAAAGGTTGCCTACCCCTGGTCTATGTCCTCAACTTGACAACTTCAAATCATCCAACATTTCACAGATGAAAACTGGAACACATATGACTGAACAACATAACAGTGTGGTCAAAAGGGCATGGCCAGGAAACAAGAGAGAAAAAAGTTATCAGTGGGGAAAGACATGCAAAATTCTTATTTTATGAAGAGAAACCCTGGAATTTATGTAATGAATTTAGGAAAGTCAAGAAGAGCAAGACTCTGCCCCCCTTCTCTCTCTCAATTAACTGAGCATAAACTAATTTTTCACTTTAAACTCAGTTTGCAACAACTGAAGTAAACAAGGAAAAAGGAGTATATTGGAGAGAGGAGAGAGAAACTGAGAATTTGGGACAGCAGTTAATTAACTGAGACCATTCCTATTAAGCTGAGACAGTTAGAAGTTAAGCAGGTTTGAGAGCTGAAAAATCACTAGGAGGCAAAAGTTCTACAGGGATATGCATTTTGCTCCTTCAGACAAAGGAATGGGGAAAGTAGAATTTCTGACTCCTTCATTGCTTCAATCTCATCCTCCCAAAACCTGGAAAAACAGCTTTGACTCTGATTCCTCCCTTGCCAAAGTTGTTCTTCTTTAGGACTGTTTGCTTAACATGTCAGAGTTGAACAGGGTGTACAGGGTAAAAGAATAAGCTGCAGACTTTGAAAAGTATGGACTACGTAATTGTACTATTAGGAGAAATATAAACTTAAATTCAATTGTTACTCTGAACTAGAGCTGACTCACTGAAACAATGGGATTTCCACAACTGGTGACTTAGGGCCTCGGCAGACGGCTTAATTGAGCCGTCTCCGAGGCCAGGAAGAGGAGGGGCCACCGCACGCGCGGTGGCCCTTCCTCTTCCTGAGGTCGCCCTGAACGCTTCCGGGCCACCGGACGTCCGGCGCGTTCAGGGCGACCTCCTCCCGCAGCGTCCGGACGCGCTGCGGGGGATAAGTGAGAGAAAGGGCGCCCGCCACTTTTAGGGCGCCCTTTCTCTGATTTATGAAAGGAGTGCCTTTTTGGCGCTCCTTTCAGGGTCGCTCTAGGAGCGCCGCGGTGGGGCTGCCATAGCCCCGCGGCGCACCGGACCAGGGCGTCCCAAACGCCCTGGTCTGCAGAGGGGGTTACTCTTCAATTGATTCAGGGATTCTACTATAACTCTGATTAGCAATGGGACTCAGGGCAAACTATCTCTTCTCATTATTCCCTTCCTTGGTCAAAATGTGTTGGCATGATTTTTCTTACAGACTAGATAAGTAAAAATAGTCTTCCTTCAGTTTTAACAGAGGATTGAATATCTTGTTGCTTTGTTGTGGTTGTTGTGTGCCTTCAAGTTGTCTCTGATTTATGGCTACTCTAAGGTGAGCCTATCAAAAGTTCAACCTATCAAAGGTTTCTTGACAAGATTTGTTCAGAGGAGGTTTGCCCTAGTTTCACCATAGAGTCCCCAGGTAAGTCAAAAATGACTTGAGGTTGAGAGAATGTGACTTGTACAAGGTCACCCAATGAGTTTCCATGATTTGAACAGTGGTCTCTCAGAGTCCTAGTTCAATACTCAAACCACTACATCACATTGGCTCTCAGGACATCATGACACACTTATTGGTATCTTCAGCACTCTTCTCCAGCACCACATCTCAAATAAGTTGATTTTCTTTCTGTCTGCTTTCTTTATTGTTCAACTCTCACATCACCATATATGATGATGGGGAATACAATGGCTTGGACAATCCTAACTTTAGTATTCAGTGTTATGTCTTTGCACTTTAGAATCTTATCTAGTTCTTTCATAGCTGCCCTTCCCAGTCATAGTCTTCTTCTTATTTCTTGACTGTGGATAATACAGAACAATTTTAAAACAATTTTGTAAGATAACAAATATTCAAAAGCTGTCCAACAAGAAGAGAAAAAAATAAGAATTAACATTAACTAGGCAAAGCCTGCACAAACATCAGACACATTAACATGGAGTAACTACTACCCACTGCCTCCATACTAGCAAAATGCTAGCATGGATCCCTCGTTTCTATAAGCATGCCATGAAAACAAGGAAGAAATTCATCCTTTTACCATGATTTATCCAGTTCTATATGTATACACCAAGGCCCCAAATAAATGTTGAGATATGCATTGATATTTATAATGAACAGCTAAAATTGTCCAAAGTATTTATTTCTCTAAATTATATAACATTCTTCAGTTATAAACACTTCCAGGATAATTAACAGGTAAATAAGGGGGGGAGTAGTTCTGGACACCAATATCATCATTTTGGGGGGCTGGAGAATTCTATTAATACCCACTGCACTGGCTTGTATATTGTGGGTAGCATAGTTTCTTTTTCTACCATAAAGCCACATAAGCATATATATTTAAGCTTGGTATGTTGTCAGCCAATTGATTTGTAAAACACAAGTTATCAGTAAGATCATTTGTCAAGTGAAAGTTTTGATTTGCCACCTGACCTTTTTTTATTTTAAGTTAGTAGGTTTGATTTCAGAAACTAACATCACTTGTTGCAAGGTCTCTGAACTAAGAAGCATGTTTGATTTTACATGTACGGTATATATTAAAGTTATAGGAAACAACCCATCTCTAAAGCACAATATGAGCTTTCTTTTATCCCTTTTCATACTAACTGTATATAGTCTAAACAACACACACAAATAAAGGGATAATTTTCTTCAGCTTGCTAGTTTGCAATTCTGCTGCTGCCAAATTATGTAACAATTCCCCTGCTAATTTAATGCAAAGGTGGGCAACTGTGGCCCTCCTATGTTGTTGAGATTCAGTTCCTATAAACTCTCAGCATTGGCTACACTGCTGGAAGGTACAGTCCATGAACATCTAGGCATTCATAGCTCTGCTTTAATGAAATGTGACTGCACCCATTACCAGTCTTCTAAGGGGCTATAATTTCCAAAAGATAAGCTGGCTTTGGCATCTTGGCATCTAACTGTATTGGAATGGCCTTAAAGGGATAAGTGACCTTTGCCTCAGAGTTTAGAAATGTCATTTTTGGACTACAATATCCAGAACCTCTTGTCCTTCTTAGGAGAGCTAAGGAATTATGGGAATTGCCATAAAAAAAAGGGCCTTGTTCTGTGGTCAACTGGTTTTTCAGGGAATTACACAACATTCTTCCTAAGGGGGAAACAACTGGACTGAGGAAGAACATTGTTTTATATTATAGACAAAGCTGTTAACTAGTAGATGTAATGATCCTTGACTCTATGACACCACTATGATCACATCTGGAAAATCACTTTGGTGATCACCTCAGTAATAGGCAGACAGCCAGGAACTAACTAGAGAATATCTGAGAAGGGAAAAAATGATTATTGCTCTAGTTAGCCTCCAAGAACTAAGATGAGAGAAAGGACTGCTAGGATAGACAAATATCAGAAGTTAATGACAAGAGAAGGGCAGCATTCTTCAGGATGTGGGGGGGGGGAGGTGGGATCACTATCAATGAATCAGCAAGGAAAGAAAAGCTGTGGATCCAATATAAGTCCCTAATGAAGAAGAGTGGTGGGCATCTTACAGATATTCTTCTGGGAAATGGCATACCACATTTAATCATTTACAGAGTAAGCAAGGTCAAAACTTGAGGGCTAAGTGTAATCATAACATTTGTAAGGATTGATTTTGTTCACAAATGTAATGTAAGTCAATATGGGATTTGCTTATCCTGGAGAGACTGAATAAGCTTCAAAATCTGCGAACTGCTCTCAAACATCTGACACTT